GGTATTTTCTTCTTTTTTTTTTTCTTTTTTTTTTTTTCCTTTTTTATCTGTAAAAGGGAGCTATTAAAAGAATATGGACTGGACAAGTATTCAGAACTTTTCAGAAGGTCTGTATCAGTCTCAACATTTGTTTTCCCACGGTGCTTCAAACCATGTAGTATTTCTAGCATGCTTACAACTTGGACTAGGTTTTGAAATTTCATTTCACAGTTTTAACCATGCTGTAAAGACGACCTGGAAAATTTAGGAACCATAACATCCTCAATCTTTTATGTGCAGTTTTATGTTTACTTTCATTTTTTACCACATAAGCTATGTCACTGTCAGAGTCTTTCTAAATCTCCGTATCTAGTTGTCCTCAACTTTACTTGGTGTTTTTGAAAAATGCTAATAAATTCTAATTAGAATCCAAAGTATTCTCTAGTTACAAAAAACAAAAGCATTTGTTTTTCATAATTTACATGTTTTTTAAAACCTTCTGCTTTCAGCTCCAGTTTATGCTGCCTAAATTTGAAGAAATATATGCTAGATCCTACTGTTTTTCAGCCCATTTCATTTATTACTTGCTTGTACATGGTTACAACTTTGATGCAGAAACTTGGCCACAGATACATTTTCAAAAGGAGGTGAGTAATAATGGTTTCCTCTTACTGTTATTTTAATCCAAAGTGGTTTAGAAGGAGACAGAAGATGCAGCAGCCTACAAAAATGTGATGGTCGTAAACAGCCTTTGTAAATGATTGTCAAATGTTTGGCATAAGACAAAGCCACTTTTCAGGCCTCAGTAGCAATTTCAGCCTGGTCCCAGGGGTTGCACATTACTTGGAGATGCCACCTAGATTCTTTTAAAGAGCTTTAAGAAAGAAACAAATAATTGTGTTTTAAACCTTTCCCCAGTTTGTTGAAGTAGTGGCTTCCTCTAGGCAGTGATCTGCCTGAAACACCTTGCCAGTAAAGGCCATTTTGAGCTAACCCTGCTGAGCTGGACAGGAGAACTCCTTTTCTGTCTGCTGGCAGAGCCCTGGGGGAACCAGCAGAGCTGGTTTGTAGTCAGTGAGTGGTGATGAAGCGATCTAGGGCAGTTTTCATCCTCAGCTGGCACATCCATCTGTGCCATAATCTGGTTCTCTGGAATAAGAATGTATATTGTTGGGGTACGGGCTTTCAGTTGGTAGAGAGAGAAGGCTTATGATGTTTGTGCAATAGCTGCATTTCTCTCTCCCTGACCTCAGTTTTTCTCCTAAAAACCAGAGTACTTGGAATGAACTTCTATATATCCATTCTAAAGCTACTGCTAAGAAATCTTTGCTTCCAAATCAGAAGGCATGGCCACTATCTAAGCTTGGCTGTTACATCAGGAAGCGTGGTCCCCACGGTGCTCTGCAATTCCACCCTTTCCTCTCTGCTACTGTACATAGCCTTATTCTAAAATCTTGTCCCAGACGGTCTCTTAATCTCTGTAGTTTGGAAGTGCTTCAGTACTCGCATGCAAAACCAACAAAAAAATAGGCTGTAGATTTTCATGGAGTTTTCCTAAATGCAGGGCATGCTAGCAAGCTGTGAATGAGAGATCGTAAGCAATGTTTTCTGAACAGTGATACCTATTACTGGTGCACTAAGGAATCAAGTAGGATTTTCTTGCCTTATTTTGTCCTCTGGTGGACAACCATTAGAGTGTAACCCAAATACTTATCTTGTAGCTGGCCCTCTAAGCTAGCCCTTGATTAACAAGTTCCACCAATTTCTCTTTAAATGCTCCCCCCCGGACATTTTTTACTCTGTTAAACAATAGATTTTTTTAATTTTTTTTTTTTTAAATTGTGGTTTGATTTGTAGGAGGCAGTGATGTGTACTTACATGTTTTATATAAAAAGGCAAACCATTATTGGAGCCTGGGCATGTGGGAGGAGGAGGAGGGATGCTTTGTCTTCACCCTTTGATCCTGTGCTTATCAAGTGGCAGGATGATGATTTAATGAAAAAGACAATGAAAAATTGATAAACTCTGAAGCTCAAATTAGAAGTGGGGAAAGACGGCAAAGTAGGAGGTCCATGGAGCAATACAAACGTACCTCCTTTGCTTTCGTTTCACCTGTTGCTAAGTAATTTTCTACTTATGTTTATTTTTTAAATGGAAGAGCCTAGTGCTGGTTCATTTGCAGGCACAAAACCAACCATGGAACAAAAGATGATAAATAGAGTACCTGCTCTGGGGACTTTACCCTGGCTTTCTCTTTGTCCATGTCAGTGGGACTCTGTGGGGTTCTTTTGTTGCTTGAACTAAGTAGTATCCTAGGATTTGGCTAAAATGAGGGACTAATTCTAGGAATTAGCACAGTAGTGCTAATTTTTTTTTTTTAAGTGTGTTTCTTGCACAGAAGATCTCATGACTGGCTGTCTGCATATATACGACACATCCTTGTATCCATCCATCTAATACTGCTTTAGCCCAGTGACCAATTTTATGATTAGCAGCCTCTGGAACTACAAAAAAAAGGGTAATTTAAAATTGGTTTGTATCTTCTTTGTATTAAAGTTTTCTCCTTGTTAACTTTAAGGGCAGTTGTCAGCATCAGCAGTTGAGCTTTTGGAACCTCTGATCTTTGAAAAGTCTATGGGAATAGGACTCTTCTCTCTTTGTTTCAGGTTGGTAACAGCAGTATAGCATGGTCACTCGGGTACATGTTAAGCCTCACGAACATGATTCCAGCAGAAGGCAAGCTGATCCAATTACCTCTGAAACCTTCTTTGTTTGCTGGGCTCCTCGTCTTCCTCACAGCTACGGCACTGTTGTGTCTTCTCTTCCTTGTTTACTTGTGTATTGTATCACGCAATCGGAAGAACATCAATTGTGTTGAACATGTATTTATTCCAGAATGAATGAACTTTATTGAAGACAAAATTTTTATAGTGCTATTAAGTTAAGCAGGACTTTATTTTTGAAAAATGGAAGGCAGAATAAAGACAGGCAAAAAGACTTCAGGACCAGAAGCATAAAGAGAGAAGAGACACAAGGAATCTGTGATACGGTGAATTGGAGTGCTTTTGAAATATTTTGGCAATTGTTTCCTTAAAACTAGTTTGTCTGGTGTGCAGCAGAGAAAACGTGGGCAGATACGCCACTTTGCTTGATAAAGGATTAATAGCCTTTTCCTGCGAGGTACGTAGTGGTTTTTTTGTTCGTTAACTCTGTGCTAACTGGTAAACTCAAGTGATGATGGATCTGATCATGGCGGCGGTTGTTTAAGATAAAATTAAACAGCAAGTCACTAGGGGAGGTGGGAACGTGGTGGTTGTTCTTGTGTGTGGTGCTGACACTAAAACCCCCAAATAATCTAATTTCTGAAACTGGAACAAGCACTGGGTAATGACAGGAACTGGAAGGAACAGGTGGGATAGAATTGGTTTTACTGCTGTTCCAAACTGATCCCCGCCACATAAAAGTGTAATAAACTGCCAACACCTCTCAGGACTTTCAAGCCTGTCTTAAAACTGAGCTGTGTCTTTCGGTACCATGGAGATCTCAGAATGCCTCTGCTACGGTACACACGATTTGCTTTGAAGGTGGAACAAAATGCTTTCACGCTTTAGTAACTGAACCTAAATTTAAACATCTCACCGTCACCTCCAGGGGCCACTGGAGTTTTCAGTGTCCTTTTCTCTAACTTCCACAGCAAGGCTTTTTGTAGGTTCTCATACTGAAACGCTAATCTGTATTCCCCACATGTTGTTGATCTCGGCCAGTTGCGGTCAGTACTGACTTGTCATGTACGTATTATTTCAACTGTCTGGGTAGAGTCTCAGACCTGGGACTTTCTGAAGCATTAAGCCCTTCATTCATTCATTCATTAATGTTAAGCCCTTCATTCACGGCCAAGAGGAATAGGAGCCACTCTGCAGGTCAGCAGAACACCCCTTCTGTAGTGGGTTTGGGAACACATTGCTGGAGCTGCGGTTGTGGCTGTAGTGCCTTGATCAGCCTTCCCACTCTCCTGGCCTCAGCGTTCCTTCCGCAGCACCGAGATCTACCTAGCAGATGCTTCTGTCAAAGGCATTAAATACTCCAGAGCTTTCCTGGAAGTGCTGCTGCCTTTGTGCTCCGAAGAGCTGACTTCCTTGAAAGCCCAGGCATTCCTCACCAAACCTCTCATTCCCTTATAAGACTACAATTTTACCCATTGCTCAAGAAGTTCCTCAGGGTCAGTGCCCCTTTTACCTGCCTGTCTTTTGTATAGCTTTGGTCTTTTTCAGCTTGCTTCTGAAATAACCCTTGAAAGAGCCTCCTGCCACATCTGCTGCCATCTCTTCCCTTCGTCCGCTGTTTCTGTTCATCATTTTAATACATTCCTCCCTCTCCACTTTTCAGTGTGAGAAAGTAAAAACTAAAAGGGAGATTACCATACTCCACGCTTGTTGCTAACAAGCTAAAGCCTGTGAGGCTGCACGAGTAGTGGTTTCCACACAGGTGTGTTGCATGCCAGAGATCCACTTGTTGATGGATACACTCAAAAGTCAAGTTAACATTGGATTATGAATTCCAATGGCACAGAAATATGTTTTCTGTCCCAGCTTCAGCTATTCCCCGTATTCATTACACGAGATAGGAGAACAGGGGCCAGTATTTTTTACTTCTGTCTTTGGTTTCTGTATCACCTTCTTACTTTCAGGCTTGTGGGGTTGGGGTTTTGTTTTCTTTTGTTTTTCACAGGCTGATAAATGACTTGAAGGGAATCAAATATAATTTTAAATGGAAAAAAATAAAAAAGTGATTTTTCAAGAGGATCAGTGGGGTGAGGGTTTTGTCCCTTCTCTGTTGGTATACTCCTGTCAGTCTTCCTGGAGTAGCAGTACTTAAGGCAGAAGCTATTACAAGATGATACAAAGTCTTCTTCAGCACCCGTTACATCTGATAAAACAAAATTTACTTCAGAATACATACACATTCCAGAGGATGGCATGAGATAAAAGCCTTATTTTGTGTGACTGATCTGGAACTGCCGTTAAGGGTAAAAAAAGACAGTTGGATGACACCATTAAAACACTTTCTTCAGCTGCTAAATTTCTGCTGAAAATTATATTCTGGGATATTTACTTGCCCTGCGAGACTTTTGCTTTGCTTTGCTTGTGAATGGCAGGGCCATTCAGCCATGGTTTTGCATGCTTGGAAGGCCTGTGCACCAAAGAGAATCAGCCATTCCCCGTTACCAGTCACTCGAGAGAGATTGGTTGGAAAAGGAACTGTCGGGCGCTGGGAATAGGGACAGGATTGTGTAATGTGAAAAACCTCAAGAAATTAATCCACCAGAAGAAAGAGATGAGAAATGAAATGCGTATGGATGTTTCTGAAGGGGGGGGAAGTGGCAAACTTATAAATACACAAACACGGCAGAAGAAAGCGGTGACCTGTACTGCCTGGCAAAATTCAGCGTTGGTAAGATCAGTTAAGAGGACAGAAAAGTAAACACCACTGAGTATGACAAGCGATCATACCCCAATTGGGGGAGTTTTTATTCAACTTTTAAATTCAATTGTTATTTCAGGAACAACATGTGTTCACTTGAAGACCGTGTATCACAAAAAGTGCTCCCCTAGACTTAATTTATGAGTAACAAGAGGAAGGCAGTACCGAGTTGCTTGCCTAGCAATCTTTGTTCAGGCCTAGTGTATGTTTTTAAAAGCGAAATGTGAGGAAATGTTTTTAAGCTTTAAGTCCTGAGTTGTTTTCAGTGTTTGATGTTAAGGCACAGCCCAAGTTTGGTGTTTTTTATGATGCCCCTTCCAGTCATTTCTGATCTTAACAGATGCGGAACTGCATGCGTGCAAGTTGTAAGTTACGTAGAACAGACGCAACCCTCACGTACTCCGTAAGTCATCAATGCAGTCACTAGTGACACCCGAGTATCTCTGCCATAAAAAAATACAAAGGTCATTAAAAAGACCACAGTTTTAGGTAACCTCCCTCCCTTCCTCTGAAGTAGTACTGGAGAGTAATGTTAGATCAAATGAAAAATACTATTCTTCCAAATCGCTGCAAAATGGAAGAATCCAAAAGCCATCACCTTCTACTGACTTGACCTAGAACATGCTCTTTAAAAATAACTAGTTTAATATGTGTATTCATGTATTACTGTCGTAAAGCACAGTAAAATAATGCTAGCGTGGTATTCTGGCTGGGACTTTCAGAAGTACCCGATGGAGTTAACTGCTCATTGACATTTTAATGATCCATTCCCTGAGCACTTGCAAAAAACACCTGCACCATTTAAAATTGCTGAAGTGCATTTTTTACTTGCTCTCTTTTGTTACAAAAGCAAAACTGCACAAACAACAAACACCACACTTTAGGCAGCTAAACGGGGGTATTTCACAGAAGAACCAGAAGGAGGATGGCCAGACCTTTCCTAGCAGTGCTCTGCAGCGCGCTTTGCTTATGAGTTGCTACTCTTGGAGCTTCTCTTCTCACAGCACATTTTGGCTGATGTTTATGCAAGCACGAATCCTGCAGAACGCAATCCCTCACGTGTGTCGGTGCCTCGATGCCCGCGCATCACGGCTGGCCCGGTGAGCTGGCGCTTGCCCATGCAGCTTTTCTGCTGTCCCCTGCCTTCCCTCGCCTGGGGCACTGCTTGGCAGAGCCCCAAGAGCAGCGAGGGCTGTGGGGAGCTCTGGGTGAAACGCCAGGTCCGGCTCCAGCTGCGCTGTGAGGACGCTCCGGCTGGTCGTCCTGCGGAACATCTCTCCACCCAGCACCACCGCCTCGGCAGCTCTGCTCCAGGTTGGAAAGTCCGTCCCGCGTGGCCTGCAGTGAGCTTGCGCTGCGCCTTTGCCCTCTGGGAAACGCCATTCGTGTGCCAACAGGTACCAAGCAATAAAGTCAGAGCAGTCCCGCGCTTGTCTCTGGAGCTGGGAGATGACACGGTCCAAGAACAGAACGAACGCGTTCTTCTGGCAGCGCGCGTGCATCCGTGACACCAGCGCTCGTGCCGGGCCATCTGCCACTGGCAGCGGGAAGCCACCGGCCGCCACGGGCACCGGCCCAGCGCTCGGCTCCTGCTCCAAGCATGCTACCCGTCCCTCTGCTCTGTGACGCGCGGCGATCAAACGCTCCTTTTGTTTGCTTGGTTTCAAACCATGGACTTTTTGCCAGCGGGTGGCATCACCCACTAGGCTGAATTACCACGCTTATGAATACATACGGTTATAATGTACCCTCTCCAGAAGTTTGTCCTGAAGGCCTACTGCCGCCTCCGTCCCGAGCCCATTCTGCGTTTGCTCCGGTGTACCCAGAGCGCTGCCATGGGGGTTGCCAAGCTGCTCTTTCAAATTAGGGGCCAGTTCTGCGCTGACAGGAGACGCCGGGCGCCATCTTGGTGTAGTTTTTCTCCCTCGTTAACACCTCCCGCCTCTCCAAGGGAAGGGCGATTTTAACAAACTGCCTCGGAGCGCGCCGGCCGTGCCCCGCCAGCTTTCTCCTGAGCTCAAACGCAACAAGCTCACCAGCTTAGCCGCGGCCCCGGGATCTGCTGCTCCCACCCGGGATTCCTCAGCCGCCGGGCCCCTCTCTCAGCGGGGCTGGGACCAACCCCGCCCCCTCGCCCGCGCTCCGCAGCGCGCTGCCAGCCGCCGGGCCGGAGCACCG